GTTGTGGGCTTATGGTGTGGAAATTAAAGAAGTCGAAGTGGACTCTTGACTTTAGTAACTTCAAAAGTCAACTCTTTTGTTTCTCTAATATATCTGCATTATATAATACTTGTCGGTTCCTTAATTTAATATTAAGTGAGTGTTTTGTGGTTGATTTTATATGCCATGTTATTGATTAATCTACACATCTTCTTCTAATATACAAAAGATCTTTAGACCAAAATAATTACTTAGAACTCTCTTGTCGGCATTACTTTTTTAGCCTAACCGTTATTTTTGAAAAGTCGGTCTGATTTATGACTGTACACAAATTTCTAAATGACATAAAAAAAATAAGATAAGATTCTTACGTTAGCGAAACCTAACGTGAGATAAGATTCTTACGTAAAATGGATATTTGATCTTATCCATTAAATATAACGAAACAAAATGGATCAATTTTGAAAACCTAACGTGAAGGATAAGATGCCTTTACCACTAACATTTCCACGATTCCTATTCATTTCGAAATATCTATTTCTTCGATTTAAAATTTTTATTTCGTTTTGCAAGTAATTTCGATAAAATAGTGTGATCAAGCCTTAATCTTCCCAAAACTTATCCTTTTTTTTTTGTAGGCAGTGATTCGTTTTTAGTAAATAACTAAAAAGGTTGGCATATATCTAGAAAATTTGATAGAGAAACCAAACAAAAAGAAACTTGAAAATTCATGATAAAAGTCAAACTTCGAAATCATTTTCATATGTTTGGCATTTTGTCCAAAAAGCTCCCCAATTTTATTCATATCCAAACTTGGGAAATTCATCTGTATATAACGTGATTATCCATTATGCTAATAAAATTTCGATATCTTCTTAGAACTATACCATATCTCACAGTAAATTTTGTTTTACAATCCGATTTTTTTTATGTAATAAAGTGTTGTTTTATAATTTCAGGGTAAATGTTGCCAAGATTCATAACTTTGTTTCTTCCAAATTATTTGAAAAGGAAATAGGAAATTGTTAACATGATTAGTTCGTTACATTGCCATTTTAGTAACGGTATTGAGGCACACACAATAAGTCATGTTCCTCTCGACCATTTTATATATATAACTTACAAGTAACAATAACTCTGTTTCAACAAGCAACAACAAATTTACTCTGTTTTCAACAAGCAACAAACTCTATATACGACATACATTTCTCAAAAGGTTAGGGGACTCAAAACGCTAATCTAACCAAAACGCTGCCAAGCCAAATCACTCAATTGCGTTTCAGAAAACGCAAACGATTCCAAAACAAACAAAGGATGAGACTTTATGAGGAAACACAAACCAAGCCATCGAATCGGGGCTTTAGCCACGATGAGCCATCGACATACTGCAGAAGTAGTTGAAGTCATGATGTTGAACCCTAAGTTGTTTTAGCCAGGAATCTGCAACGCTATAAAGCGAAGCCAATCTCTCTTGGTCATCGTGGTCATGAGAAAGCCAGACATTGCCTTGCATCTTGTAAGTAGCCATCCCAAAAGGGAGCAGACTTATGTCCTCCCCTTCCTTCCGCATCCTCTCCTTGTCCCCACCATTTTCTTCCGGTTCCATATCTATTGCAATGCATTAAACCAAGTGTGAGTTGACCGAGCGAGTTAAAGGATAGTAGATAGAGTGTGTGTGTGTGTGT